ATTTTAAAACTAGTGTTGTCCCCAAGAGAATAAACTAAAAGGAAGAACTCATGGGACAAATAAAAATGGAAATTGCTGGAAAAATTCAGCAGGTCTCTCCACTGACGCTGCTAGATTTTTGTTTTTGTTTGTCCAGGAGACTCATGTTCAATGGAATATGCTGAAATTAATGAAACTTTGGACTCCCATCGTGGTATGACTTTGAATGAGATTGCTCTGAGACTTGCAGTCAATGAAAGGAAGCAATTGCAAAGTGAAGTTTGCAGATTATATTCTTGAATTAAGCTGAGTCTCATCACTGTGGATGTATTGCAAACTAAGAAATAAATCTTGAAGGCATGTTTGTAGGAGACCTAAACAAAACAGTAAAATGTGGGCCAAGCATTTGAGAAAAGACAATGATCTGACATGGAATGAGGCCTGCGGTAAGTCCGTAGCAATGGTATTATGTACCTGACCAGGCAGAGAAGGTCAGCTAGGTTTCTGTGAGCTGACGGCCATTGCAGCCAAGTTTAGTCTTAGTCAGAAATTTAGAGGCCACTGTTGTTATCTTCATCACCGACTATTTAAATGCTTCAGTTTTTTTAAACCAAAGTACAATACTTGTGGGAAGGTCAGTCATATAAGGACAGCATGTAGGAGTAGAGAAAATAATCATGCAGCAAGCCATAGTAATGTTTCAGTTTATGGTAGTGCATCTAGTTGAATTTGTGATTGATTGAAAGACACTGCCAGATCCTGGAAGTCCTTCCGTGTGCATATGTTAAGTTATGGAAACAGACTGTTACGGAGCAGAATGATCAAGAGTTGTACTCTGACAAGAGAAACCAGTATGTGCAAGTTGAGAGTAAAAAGGTTGAAGCCAGTGAAAGTTGGAACTTCATTGCTCAGTTTCATCATCGACACAGCTGCAGTTGTATCTATAACATTAGGATGTGAGTTTGAGAAATCCCACACTCTCATTCCCTTCGGCAAAGTATGTGTGAAATTAATCAACCATTCCAATTGGAAAAAGACACTATCAATTAGATTATGTTATTGGAAGAGGAAATCTGACAGAGGGAGCAGGAAAGTTGGGATTGCCTTGTATGTCAGGGAGCTATAGTATATATATTAGTTTTGATTACAATAAAAACAATTCTGCAAACTGACTTGTTAAATCTTCAGACATAGTTGATATTGGTTCTGTCATGGTATCCTGGTTACCTTACAACTTCAATGAAAAAGTTTTTTTAAGTATGGAGGGAGTGTAGTATAATACAAGACCTCAGTATTTTCTTATATTGCATTTTCTGCTGTTTTCCCTTTTGGGTAGATGTAAACAAAGTTAGTTCAATGATAGCTTCCTGCTAGGAGTCTGTATGTAAATTTTATTTTTCTGTGCAATCTTCAACAGTGGATCATGAAGCACGGATGTATTCACCATTTTACAATCCTTCACATTGATTTCTACAACATTATTTGAGGAAGCACAGCTAACATTTCTCCCCAAAATAGCTGCCGAGTTGATAAATTATCTGTTTGATACATTCACTGCTACTTACGGAATCACATTGATTATTAAATGGCTGTTGTCTTTTTAGATAATGATTGTATTTCAGAGGAATTTATTGTATATAATCCGGTTTGGCCAATGCAATGTAGTCCTATATAAATGTAATGTTTTTAAAATAAATTATTGTAAATTGTTTCTTTAGTGATTTACATTCATTAGATTTCTGTCAACGCTCTCTTGTGCTTTAAGCTAATAATACATATTTGGAGAAAATTTAATTTGTCAATATCAATCTCTGGCTTTTAGTTCCATTAAGTTCTATTTAGATTGATTTAGTACAAGCTGATTGAGCCTGGTGTAGAAAGTAAACCACCCACACTTATTTCTGTCTATGGCATCTTTAAGTTACTTGGATCGTTTTGTTTTCTGGTATTTGCTAGAATGCGGGTAAGAAAATAATAGACTGAATTTTGCAATCAGCAGCGAAGCAATAGCACTCGCCACTGAGCTCCACAAAGATCTAGTGATTTCTGGGATGTGAAATTTCTCTTTCCTGACAATAGTTTGAACTAGCAACCAGGCATTCAACAGCAATGATTTGATTTGATTTGATTTGATTTAGTGTAGTCACATGTATCTAAGTACAGTGAAAAGCTTTGTTTTGCGAGCAGTACGGGCAGATCGTAGCAAACAAGAACATACAGATCATAGGGTGCTTAGACAGAGCGAGGCATACAGGTTCCAACTGCAAAGGAGGTGTGCGAATCAATATCAACATTAGATTGAAATCAGAGAGTCCATTCATCAGTCTGATAACGGCTGGGAAGAATCTGTTCTTGAACCTGCAGATCCGTGTTTTCAAGCTTCTGTATCTTCTACCTGACGGAAGAGGTTGTAGGAGAGCATCATTGGGGTGGCAGGTGTCTTTGATGTTGGCAGTCTTTCCTCGGCAATGAGAAGTGTAACTGGAGTCCATGGATGGGAGGTTGGCTGCCGTGATGGTCTGGGCTGTGCACGCGGCCTTCTATAGTTTCTTAAGGTCCTGTGCAGAGCAGTTGCTGTACCAGGTCATTAGGCGCCTGGCTATTGTGCTTTCTATGGTGCATCTGTAAAAGTTGGTGAGAGTCCTTATGGACATGCCATCTTTCCTAAGCTGCCTGAGGACGGAGAGGCGTTGTTGTGCCTTCTTGACTGTTGCAATGAATCATTGGCCGAGAGACAGGGGCAGTAATTGCTAATCAGAAGGATGTTTCCTTTCATTTGTTTACAATGAATCTTTATGAAGTCTAGAGTCAAGATTGGGGATTCCCAAGATACCTCCTCCCCAGTTGTGTACCACTGTGCCAGCTCTTCTAGTTTTAGCTCAAGCTACCCAGTGTTAATAAGGAAGACTTTGCAAGGTGTCAAGGGTTTGTTGTTTTCAGTGCCAATGTTGGTGTTGGGTGTGTGTTCAGTTTTGTTTTGTTTCTTAGCTGTCCCAAACCACTATAAAGACTAAGTAGCTTACAACTGCATTTCAGAGAGGCCTTTAAGAGTCAATTACATTGCTGTGGGTCCTGAATCATTGGGTTGGAGTCACATCCAAGCCAGATTTCCTTCAGTAAAGGACATTAGTGAACTAGGGAATTTTATACGGCAATGAATATGGTTATTAGACTGGTTTTTAATTCCTGATTTGTGAATTGAATCCAAATTTACCATTTGCAATGGTGACATTCAACCCCATGTCCCCAGAACACTAGCCTCAGCACCTGGATTGCTAATCCAGGGGCATTACCTACACACCACCACCTCCCGCTCTCTATTTCTTGTGCTAATACCGCCAAAGGCTGAGGGAATGTATTTCCTTCTTTGGCAATACATTTGTGTTTGTAAACTGTAATCAGCTTGTTGCTTCCTGTGAGTGTCCCCTGAGCATGCTACAGTATCAACATTTTGTTTCTGATCACACAGCAACTGAAAGGACTTTGATTGCCTGCAATAATTTACACAACATTTCCGTGATGTGTGATACCCTATACCATTGGAATGTCGATTGTTCACTTTAATAAATACAGTACATTGCAGGATGTCTTTCTTCCTTCCCAACTCAATGTTCTCGAATGTTTCATTATATCTCTTAAGTCATCATAATTTGGCATCCTTGCTCTATTAAATAACTCTGGCCTTACTCGCACTGTTTAGCCTGGTCATCTGGTCTAGTCTCCATTTTTGGTTGCATCTAATGAGTGCCGGAAGCTCGTTTTCAAGTGATTATAATTGGTCTCGTTATTCTTTCAGAGATTTGGCATAATCAGGTTAAGCAAAAGTCTTTCCTTGTCCGCATCTAATCCTGCCTCTCTCCTCATTAATCCTAGCAGATAGGATAGTTTAAGATTTCTCTGTTATCAATTACAAGCTTGATACTCTTTATTCCTGTCTGTCTATCTTTGTCTCTAATACTAAGTGCAAAAAAAGAGCCTAGAGCTAATTATCTCCGACTGATACCTATCTATGCAATGCCTGTCTAACAATAAGTTGTGGACCAAGGGAAGAAAAAATTCTGGATGTCTAGAAGAGCAAAACCATTAATTTTGGCCCCCATTGGTAACTTAAGTCCCTTGTTACTTCCGGTGTTCAGTAGGCTATGCAAGCCTATTGAATTCTCTTCAGCACGGAGGTGAATTTCAAAAGTCATATTCTATCCACCATCGTAACCACTTGAGTCTCTATGTGTCTCTCCCTGGTGCTGGCTATCGCCGAGAGCTTGATTTTTGTTTTGTGCATTTATTATCGATTGACAGAATTCTCCATTTACATAGTTGCCAGCCTCTGACCTCTACCTTTCATGAATTCTAACTTAACTGAAAGTTGGAGTCATGACAATTTATGGTTACCATTTTACTCACATTCTCATTACTTCTGCCCTTTGTATTGAGTTTAAAATATTCACACTGAAGATGAAATCTCTACCTAGTCTTGCTCCGTTATGCCTCTTTAACCTTCTCCTGCAGTTTGCACTCTTCAGACTTTGATATTTGGTAGATGTGTCCTTTTGCGCCCATCATTGATGTTAGATCATTCGGGTATCTCCACTGCAATATATTTTTAAAAAGAAACTCCTTTTAAAAATCTTAAAACGGGTTTGTTTGGTCAAACAATGAGGTGAGCATCTCCAAACTGTAAATGGCCAAATATTAGTTGTCACTTATAATCCCAAGCCTATCGCCTATGTTTGTTCCTTTCATTGAATTATTTCTTCACTTCGTGAAGTGTCATCTGCTGTTTCCTATATTTAAAGGTGCTATGTTAATGCAATTTTTTTGTTTGCGTATAAGAGTGGCAAGCATTGCAATTTTATGTTAACTAATAACAGCTAAATGAGAGCAGTTTCAAGTTTTTTTTAAATTCAAGCAAATAGTACTAGTGAATTGTGATACAATCAATGAAAAATGTTTGTACATGTAGATGTGTTTAAAAATAAATCTCAACTGCATTTTAAAAAATATTTTCTTTTTTTTCCTAGACTTGATATCTACAGGAAAGTACCAAAAGACCTTACACAGCCCACATACACAGGAGCTTTTAGTGAGTATTGTAGAGAAAAAAACCTGTTTGCTTTTACAACTTAATCAGTCAACTTTGCAGAAGTGTTCCTGAGAACTTATGGAAAAGGAAAACTTCAAAACAGAGTCCCGTCGTGAAGAGGATGAGTCCTTGAAACGTTGGAACTACTAAACTGCAAAGAATCTCTCATTCTTATCTTACTCCACTTATGAAGTACTTATATTTAGCACATTAGATGTACTATATAAATGTAAGTTGCTGTTCAAAGCAGTTCAGAAGTGTCTGCAATTCAACAACTCCATGCTGGCAACAAAATATAAAACCAAATCATTGTATTTTTTATTTGTTCATGGGATATGAATGATACTGGGAAAGCTAATACTTTTTGCCATCCTCAATTATGGGATTGCTTTGCAGTTAGGGATATATGCTTTAGGATTTGGGCCTAATGACGTTTCTTCAGGTACAGTCCATTGTAACTCCTCCAAAGCTGAAGCTGACTGTGCTCAGAAATTGGGCGATAGGCTTGGGATTATAAGTGACAACTAATTTTTGGCCATATTTGTGTTTGGAGATGCTCATCTCCGTCATTGAGAATCAAACTATAAAGCGCCTTGATGTTCATCACATAATGATCATAGGGTCCTCCACCATCAATATCTTGGGGGTTACCGTTGACTATAAGCTTATTGGACCAGCTACATAAACAGTGTGGCTACAAGTGCGAATCAAAGATTGGAAACATGTCACACAAACTTGTGAAGGAATGATGATTATAGTTCCAAGTAGGATGGTTTGTGACTTGGAGAGAAATTTGCAGATGGTAGTGTTATCATACATCTACTGCCCTCTTCTTTTGAGGTAGTGGAGATTGTGAGTTTAATAGGCCCTGTTGAAGGAGGCTCGTGGAGTTCGTACAGTGGATCTCGTGGATGCTGTGAGCCAGTGGCAAAAGAGGTGACTTTTTTATGGTGGAAGATGAGCCCTAATCTACTGGACTGCCATGACTTGGATTGAGGTCTTTGAATATGATTGGATCTGCACTTGGCAAGATAAGGGAAGAATTTTCCATCATAATTCCTGACTCCTTTGATGGTCAATGTGTTCAATGTCAAGGCACTCTGTGATGGAGAAATCTGGGACATTGGGTGTGCAGTACCATTTAGGGAGTGTCGCTTTACTTGACTAGGTATCAGGATTGCTCTACCAATTTTGGCACAAGACTCAAGAAGTTGGTGATGATTACTTGACATTGTGTGCCTTCATTGTTGTTTCTGGTGCCTCAGTTGATAAGGGGTGACTCATCAGGTTTTATGCTTATTTGGCATCTCTCTTAATCTAACAAAACCATTCCAGTACAGCTACAATACTAACCCCTACCAGCCAGTGAAAAGTTGTCCATGTATGTAATGCCCACAAAATGCTATTTACTCTAGATTTTCAGTGAAGTGATGGGAAATATTGTTGACATTGCTATCCAGCAGCACATGTTTAGCAATAATTTGTTTGCCACCATTTAGTTTAGGTTCCACCAGGGCAGCCCTGGTCCACAAGTTGAGAAAATAATTGGATTCCAGAACTGAGATGAGCGTTGATGACCCTTGATATTACAGAACCATTTGATATAAAGGAACCTCCTCAAAATTGAAGTCAGTGGGCACTGGGGGAAAAACTGTCCAGTAGTTGGAGTCATAACCAGCACAATGAAGTTGTTGAAGGTCACTTATCTCCATTCTGGAAAATTGCTCCAAGATTCACTCGGGTTATTTTACCAGCCCCAATTCTCTTTGGTAGCTTCATTGATGACCATCAGCAGCTTCATAAATAAGGTCAGAAGTGGGGTGTTTACTGACAAATGTGGCTTCCTTAGACCCTGAAGCAGCAGCAAGATACAGACAAAAGTCAGGCTTTGGCTGGTAAGTGGCAAATAATATTTCATGCCACACAAGTGCTAGACTGTTGTCATCTCCAACAAAATAGACTCTAACTGTATACCCTTGATGTTCATTGGCATTACCATTGCTTAGTTCCCTGACATCAACATCCTTGGGGTTAATACTGATCAGAAGTTTAACTGGACCAACCATGTGTATACTATGGCTATAGTCGCAAGTTGAGAGCTGGGAATTGTATTTCAAGTAACTCCATTTGTGACTGCCCAATTAATGTGCACCTTCTGTAGGGCACAGGTCAGGAGTGTGCTCGATCACCCTCTGTTTGCCTGAATGAGTGCAGATCCACCAGTAAGAAGATGAACGTCACCTTGGGCAAAGTAACCCATTTGGATGTCCGGTCACATTCATTCATTCCGGTACTAGCATACAGTTGCATGAGTGTGTTCCATTTACAAGATGAAGTACAGTAACATGACCAGGCATCTTCAGCAGTACCGTCCAGATCCTGAAACTCTAACATTCAGAAGAATAAGGGCAGCAGCTGCATGGGAACCCTACTTACAGATTACTGCCCAATGCAGACGGCATCTTGACCTAGGACTGCGTCCCCATTCACTGTTGATGGGTTGAAATCCTAGAAATCTCTTCCCATTGGCACCATGGAACTTTCATATGGGCTGCAGTAATTAAATGGCAGCTCACAGCTGCACCACTTCAAGGGCACTTAGGGTTTGGCACTAAATTCTTTTGTATTTGTCACTTGTTTTCCTGCTCGCTGGTCAATGATCTCTCCTAGAATGTTGATAGTGGGGTATTCAGTGACGCCACTGCTATTGAGCATCAAGGGGAGAAGGTTAGATTCTCTTGTTGGCGATGGGCATTGGTCTGTCATTCCCTGCTCCACCTCAACTATTTTTCCACCGATTTCTGCCTTGCTTCAAAACTGCCCATTTCTATCACATTTTTGATACTGATGAAAGATAAATGACATGAAATATTCACTATTTCACCCTCCACAGATGCTGTCTGGCCTACTGGGTGTTTACCAACTATTTGTTACTTTAATACCTTCAATTATGTTTTAGATTATTTGTTTGAGACTCCTGTATCTTGATATTTCCTTATTTGCTTACAAGGGAGTATCACTTTGCGTGACTGTCTGCAGATCGTGACTCTGTAGGGTTGAGGTTTGTATTTTCAAGTCTCTTAACAGTCTTGTTTTTTGTTTGGGTTATTCCTGCATTAACATGAATGAAGTCTTGGGCAGTTCCCAAGCCTGAATGACAACCCCCCTTCAGGAGTGTGAGTAGGCTGTCTGTAGTCTGGCTCCTGTGTTTCCTGCTGCCTGGCTGAAATGACTGCCCTGTTAACGTCGTTAGGAGAATGTAAACAATCCCAGCACATCAAGATGCAGTCTTCAGTAGATGATGGCTCAATTTGGAGACTCCTAAACACACAGGTGTCTGTTGGTGTTGGAAACTCAACAGATAAAAATAAATCTGAACCTTCATCAAAATCAGTTCAACCAATATATTTTTCTTAATCTCCTCCTTAATGTATTTTGGGGCCACACTATTAAATTTCACTCAACAATGCCTTCACTATTGCTTCTTGATAATATTTTAACAAGATAACTTGTTGAGGTTGGTTGGCTTGCCGAGCTGGTTTGTTGTTCCGCAGATGTTTCGTTACCGTGCTTGGTAACATCCTCAGTTCAGCCTCTGATGAAGCGTCGGTGTGTTTTCCCGCCTGGCTTTTAAACTCTGGGGTCCGTTGCGATGGATTGCCTAATCTACTCCAAAACCTTAAAGATAATTTGTACATTCTGCTCCTGAAGCAATCACCATCCCTCCACCACCACCACTAATACCAGAATTAATCCTTCGCCTCCCCTTTTTATGTTGCTGCCTGTGTCCCTGATGTTTTTGCATGCTCCCTCCATTTCTGGTTGTCCAAAGGGTTCATCCCTTTTATATAACTCTTAATATTCCCAATTTTCCCTCTAAGCCCAAGGCTTTGTAAATTGCCATGCGTTTTTTTGGTCATATATTCTCCTCATGTTGAGGCTTGAGTGATTGTCGTTTGTGAAAATGCCTCTTCCGCTGCTTCCTGTTCTCTCCTACATTCAGAGATTTCACCCTTTTGTCTTGAATTGCTGCTTTTCATAATAGTCATTCCGTCTTTGACTCAGCCCATTGCCAACTTGAGCTTCACACTTTTCCCAAGAATCCACCACTGCCCCCGATAAGTTCCCTGACTGTTAATAACCTAAAACCCCAAGACTGACTGTTTGTTTGCAAACTACCCCTTGGATTGTTTTGGCACAACAGCCACAGCCGAACATGGCGAGGCATCCAGCCAGATGTCTCCACAACATCCTGTCTGATCTTTCTGAAATCCCTGGACTGGTTGCATTTGACTTGCAGAGTGGGTTGTGGCCTAATCGCTGAATTGTAAGGCCATGGAGCTCCGACTCTAGGACCAAGCACCAGAATGATCCTGGCCAACTGCTTGGACTGTAATCAGATGAGCCCCTTTACTTGGTGTTGCGGCATCCCCAACTTATTAATGGACCCCTTAAGCCCACTCAGAGCAAGTCCCTTTGATTTTCTGATGTGACCATTTGTTTAAAGCACGTGCAGTATGTTATCTGTGTAAGTTGCTAGGACAAGCTTCACGTGTGATTTTGGAGTATTATAGAGCTGCAGAGCAAGACGTACACTCCCTTGACTGTTAGTGTTCCGAATTGTGATAAGCTGCCTGTACCTCTTGTCAGCTAAGAGTCATATGATGCATCTTGGGCAGAAGCTTGTGACGTGTGTATGCAAGCTGACTTTGAGAAGCAAGTCATAAATGCCCCTGAGTTCCTACGCGAAGACCGGCAACACTATAGTGGTGTGTCATTTGGTCCGAAAGCAGTAAAATGATGGGTCTAGGCCCAAAACGTCAAAAAGCCTTCCTGCTCCTCTGATGCTGCTTGGCCTGCTGTGTTCATCCAGCTCTACACCTTGTTATCTCAAAATGATGTTGTGGTTTGCTGTTGCCTACTTGTATGGACAGAAGGTGGAAAAGGATTGTTTCCAGGGAGCATTCAGGAACATTGTTGTAGTGTCGGAGTTGCCTGAA